CTCCATCTGTCTGAAGGAATAATGGTCTTCTGGTTCAAGATTAATGGAGTGGCTTCCAAGCACAAAATACCTCATTTAAAAGAGTAATTTGGTTACAATAAATCTGGGACGAGCAAATAGTGTCCATGTCCCTCTGTGTCTGCTTTCTGTCTTTTGAGGGGGGAAAAAATCCTATTTTTAAAAAATAAGCCTTTTGCTTGGTTGCCTGACAATTTTGGACCAGTTCACCAAAAAATTAAATTTTTTATTCTATATTCACCCTAATGTGGTTCCAAACATGTATGACTTTCTTTCTACCGTGGAGCACAAAACAAGATGTTTTAAAGAATGTTCATGCTGCACTTTTTGATGCAAAGAAAGCATAAGCAGACATTTTGCTCAACATCTCATTTTATGTTCCACAGAATAAAGAAAGTCAGATTGGAATGACATGAAGGTGAGAACTGAATTATCCCTGGTAAAAATGCTAAACTGTTATTGATCTGAATGGCTCTTCAGGAACTTGCTGATACAGTGAGTTCTGCTAGAGTGTCCTGTCTTCAGTTTGGGCAGTTCTGGATTAAGAGTGTCTCGCTTTTTAAATCAGAAAGGATTAAGGGTTAATGAGCAGTGCTCATTAATCTAATCACACTCGTAATTCTCTTTAAAGTGCTTCCACTGGCTTCAGTCTCCATTGCAATGTATTAGATCCTGCTCTAGATTACAAAAACTCGTCCCTGTATGACACTTTTACCAAAAATCATGGGCTGATTTGTTCATGATAGGAAGTTCATCCTAAAATCAAAATTCTGTCATTATTTACTCACTCTTTTCAAACCTGCATGACTGACTTCCGTAGAGCAGAAAATATGTTCTCATCAATGAAAACATACTCTAAAGTTCAAATGTTTGGGGTCAGTAAGATTTTTTATGTTTTTGAAAGAAGCCTCCAATGCTCACCAAGGTTGCATTTTCAGTCTCACATGATACTTCAGAAATCACTTTAATATGCTGCTCGAGAAACATTTCTTATCCGCAATGTTGAAAACAATTGTGCTGCTTAATATTTTTGTGGAAACTGTAATCCATTTCTTTTTTTTTTTAAGGATTATTTTACAAATAGAAATTTTAAAAGAACAGCATTTATTTGAAATGAATTATTTTGTAACATTTTAAACATCTTTACAGTCACTTTTTATTTGAATGAGTAACTTCTATAGGGTCTTTCGAAACCATAAGATAGCTTTGTGTGAGGAAAAGACTGAATTTTAAGTCAATAAATTAGTTAGATTTATCATTCGATGAAAAAAAAAGCAGTGAGCATTCTTCGACATGTCTCATTGTGTGTTCCAAAGAATAAAGTCATGCTGTTTTGAAACAATATGAGCCATAAAATGATGACAGAAAATTACTAAACATCTTAGTGAACACTGATTTGAGTCCTGCAATATAAAAAAAAGCCAAATTAAATCAGTCAAACTGCATTATTTTGGTGTACTACACTAGCTATCCCATAAACCCCCAGTGAAATGTTTCTCATATCAGCAGATCGCAGACTGATATGTTAATCACATCAATCCGGGTGATCACTCATAGTCTAAGCATGGAAAATCCAAACAGCAGAAGCTTGAGTACAGACAAGATAAACTTAGTTGAGATGAGGAGACTGTATCTCCCTCCCTCTCTGTCCTCTTTCTTTCCCATAATCTCTGTCTGGCTGAACCATGAGTAAGCAAGACCACCCAGCCATGACATTTACTGACTGTGATACAGTTCTTTGTCCTGCTGCACCTGCTTGTGATAAACTTTCAAAGAGTGCTAACAGTAGATTAAACAAAAGACTGAACCATTTTACCTGCAGATAAACAGAAAACCCCTTTAAGAAAGCCGCCTGCTGATAAACAAAACTTTCCCTTATCACTCTATCTGCCAGACATAAAACGGGCAAAGAAAAAAAAGTGAATGCATTTGTTTTCCAGATGTTTCTTTGAGGGCACGTTTTGGTAGAAAACATTAGTATCACATCACAGGTGATTATATTCTTGCGCTTGGATCTGTGAGGTTCTTTAAAGTGTTGTATTTATGTTACAGTGTAACTTACATATAGTGTCATTACAAACAGGTGGATGTACTTCTGCCCTTTAGGACACTTAACTCTTCATTGGCAACCAGATATCTATGTTTAAATACTAATATATGAATAGCATTTATTTAATAAAAGAAACTTTAATTACAGGAAAACGCACTCTCGTCATCTCTCAAGTTGGGAATTGTATCACAATTCATCCATCCATTCATTCATTGTAGAACCATTCATCCAACATGTAGTGACCTGCCCTTGAACTCTAAGTCTAGAAAACATTAACTCTTAAATGGTCCATTTAAAGTAAGTATTTAAAGAGAGATTTGTGTAAATTTTTACAATGTTTACAGTTGGGCAGAACTGAGAGACAGTTTGGTCCAAAAATACGTTTCTGTTATTTTTAACTTTCTCTCATTCACTCTAGATGTAAACACAGGTTAGCTACTAGAATAATGTCCAAGTTATTCTTTTGGTTATAACAAAAGTGAATGGTTGAATGACTGTTATGCTTCAACAAAGGCCAAAAAAGTGCACTGGTACTAAAAGGACAAATATTGCATTAATTAGTCTATTGGTGGCTTTATAGAGCCATTTTTCATTATATTTATCAACCATGTGTCACAAAAGTAAGTGTTTTACGTTAACATTTTATATTAGCATTAATATCACCTGTATAAGGTTTGGCATACATGTAGTCCAGAGTCCATAATCATCAAAAAACTGTTTAACTCAAGTGTTAGAAATGTTGCCTTGGAAACTAACTGAACTAAAATTAAATAAAATAAGCTAAATAAAAATGACAAAAGCACAAAATAAAAATTACTAATGCCTAAACTAAAATTAAAATTAAAACTAAAATATATCAATTAAAGCTAATTATTAATAATAGCTAAATATTAATAATACCATAAATAACACTGGTTCAACTTTGAATTCACCATGGCCACCTGAGGCTTATACTAAATGTATGACATGGAAAATGAACCCAAACAATATTTATCAACTTAAATGTCTAATCTTTTCACAAACTATTGCATGGCTTCAGAAGACTGTTTATTTTTTAAAGCTTATTAAAATCATAGAGCATTAATCATATGGGCTATAGAGAAAAGAGTGCATGAATCATAATTTTTTGTCCTTTTTGTAGCCTTTTGGAGAGTTGTATTCATCGTCCATCCATCCATCCATGAAAAAGAGCCATGTGAAAAACTGTGAAAAGTTTCTGTGTCAAGTGTTAATGATTCACCTTGAAAATGTTTCAAACATATGCCTCTGACCATATGCCTCTTCTATGCCTTTAAAACGATGGAGGACCAATTTTCATGGTAACATCTGGATCCTAGTCCCTTTTACTGCCATAGTAGATACTAGATGGAAAGAATAGAGGCAAACGGATAAACTACTCAAAAATGACAGAAACCAGATTTTACAGAGGCTCATCACACATTACTGAACAAATGAATGACAAATAAGAGTGACACTATAATAAGAGTGACTCATTTCTATGCGTGCATGTGTGTGCTCGTCAGAATGAATAACTAAAGGAGGGATGTTAACCTCAAGAACGTCCTGTCCTTAATATCATCACGGTCTAAATCCCCACCTAGGGGTGTCCCGTTCCTGCAATTTCACTGAGCAGACATTTAATAATTTAACATTGAGGGATGTGACTGACAAGCATCAGAAGGCCGCTGAGGTGACAGTATTTGGGTCTTCATCACCACTTTAGAGAAACTTTGAGTTGACACGGTGCTCTTCAACCAAAACCAGCAGGATTAAAACCCACTGGGGCGGAATGTGATAAAGAGGTGCCTAATCACACACACAAACTGGCATTAATCTGCACCCCGCTGTGCAGGAATGGGGAGGCAATGTGATGGTGAGCCCATGTGTGTGTGTATTTTTGTGTGAGGAATGCAGCAAAAATCAACCCAGCTGCCGATCTAATCCCACGAAACCCATTGTCATATAGGAATAAATATAAAGCCTGCACCGAACATTTATAACGTAATACCATATGCAGTTCACTTACATTCAGATACTCCAAACCAAACAAGCTAATCTTCTTAATACCCTAAATGCACATAAAACCTATGCAAACAAAACAGTATGTTTCATTTTTACTCACACCCATACTCCACATGGATACTTCAACATCTCACCAAATATAATCATAATGACAAATATCAATGTTTACATTTAAAACTAAATATCCACCCAATATTCGTCAGAATATTAAGACTTTTCAACTTATGGCTAAAATCACAAAGAAGACAAACAATGTGTCACTTGTAACGTGTCACACCGCTAGAAGGTCTAAAACCCTGAGTGGGACAGAAAAAATAACATTTCTTCAGCAATAAGACTAAAAGGAGAGCAAATAGAGAAGTATTTTGCTTCTGATTTGTCTAGATCTCAACAAAGTCTCAAACAGTGCTATCATAAACAAGTCTGCTATCATATGCCTGAGTTTTCCCAAGATCACGATTTGTAGTCATACTGTACGTAAACATCATGTCATTTGTTTCTATTTTCAGAACTTTTAAGTAGGGCTAAATATTCGACTAATCTGCTGATTATATATTAGATTAATCAATTAATCAGATTTTAAAAGCCAGCTTTTAATTTTGGTATTTTATTTGAAGTTATTCTTCATAAACTATACTATATACTATACATTTTGTACAAAAAAAGGGGGAAAAATTATTAATGATTGAATTGATTAGTTGTTGTGGGTCTACTCAGAATTTCTTTTCAAAGAAAAATCAAAAAGAAAGAGCAAGTTCTCAGCAATAACATTTTCCTCCTAGAATTTATTCATTCAGATAATGAAAACATGAGATGTTTGAGAAACAAAGATCAAAAGTGTCCAAACATCAGAGGTCAAATATAAAAAGTGCAGTTTTTGGGTATCCACCTTTAATTATCGATTACTTACTGGGTCGTGTGACTTGTTGTTGGGTTATGGTTGCGGAGGACCCTTTAGGTGGACTGATTCTGCTCCTTGGTTGGCCCATCTCCTCCTCTTCCTTTATATTAGTGTTTTGCTGGCTTTGCGAATGTGTCGTTCCATTGATCGGAGGCCTCTGGCCAGGTATATTGCCCTCACTTCCTGTCTGCATCACTTTCTCCCCCATGCCGTGCATTCTGGGTCGGCCAGCAAGTGTATCCCGACGAGGCAAGGGGAGCTTGGAGCCAGGACCCACCGAGGATGAGCGAGCAAGTCGTGAAGGTTTAGACATAGTGTAGAAATGCTGGGAATCCAATCAAGTCAGTTCATCAGTCACTTGTCCATTTGAGTAGTCCAATCAAATCACACTAGTAGAATATCCAAAGCTGTGTTCCACAAGTGTCCAAATACCACCTGGATTTCCACCGTATTCCGCAGAGAACGAATTGCACCGTCTCGGTCTTACTCTCCCTCCTTCTATCTCATCTCTCTTCTTTCCTGTCCCTCTGTGTCTTTACTCACCGAACGAGTCCAGACGAGTGCAGGTAGAAGAACCAGACGGCGGGAGAGACGGAGGAGGAGGAGGAACGAGGGGGAAGGGGTTAATCACCACCTTTCCAAACGGAGCCTCCAGCGTTCTGAAATGTATGCGTGTGCGCCTCGGTATGACTGACAGGGGGACAAACGGAGATAAGCAGGCTGTTCCCATGTATCAGTGCATTCCAACACACAGTCTCAATCTCTCTCTCGTTCTGCCCTCCTAAACTCCAACTCTCCTTCTCTCACTCTCCCCACCTTCTTTTTCATCTCGTCTAGATGCTCTCAGCTTGGAAAGGCAGAAAAAGTCTCAATGCTTGAGAGTAAAAAAGGAAAAGAATGAAAAGGGAGAAGAAAAGGTCTTCTGTTGCTGTCACAGCTGTGTATACTGTTCCACATGTGACTCTCTCTCTCTCTATCCACTGCTCTTTCAGTCTCCAGTTTACCAGGCTAGAAGACCATCGCTGCTGTGTGTGCTGTAGAAAATGACACACATATACGCACACACGTGCTTGGATATTTCTGGAGAATTACAAAGCGGCAGAAAGGAAAGCGGGATTACACTAGCATAGCTGGTACTTGAGCTCTGCAGTTGGTGTGTGTTTGTGTGTGTATCAAAGCAAGGCATGTTGGAAGCTTTACTTTGGGCTCAAAAGAGTTGGAAGTGGAGGAAAAATCCTGTTTGCTGTTGTCAAAACAAGCACGAACACACTTGAAGAAAGTTTGCACAACTAAATATCAAAAAAGAGAGTTACAGAATAACTTGCATTGCATTATGACAGTAAAATATATAAGGGATTTCAACTTCAAGGATTTCAAGGAATTAAAAAAAAAAAAATCATGAAGTTTTAAAAAATTAATCCTAAAACTACTTTTTTTAAATGATTATTTTTTGGTTTTAATTAATTTAATGAAGTCCCTGAGAGTGTTTTGATCCTCATTATTTAGTTTCATCAAATCAAATCTCACGTCATATGCTGAGCTTGTAAAAAAAAGTCTTATCATCCATCTCTGTTCACGGCTCGGATTTTCTTTCTAAAAAAAATTGTTTTTTAGGTATAGGCATATAACATTGTCTTACAGAATAACAGTCAGAGTAGTTTTTACCCAGGGTGTTACCTAAAGTAAATAAAAATCTGATGCATCTCAATTTATCATAAACAATAAATGTAACAATTTACTATAAAAACACACACTATATATCTTGAGTATGAGTCAGAAAGCTTTTGAATGGATAACCTACTAACCCAAAAGCCCGTGCCTCTCTCCACTGCTTCCGTGATTCCATTTCACAGAAAATCCCGGATCAAACCATCCAGCGGCGGGATATTTACCTTTGGATTTCATACCCAGGGAGTTTGGAGGGAAAAAAAAGTCCCAAAGGAGCAGATTTGGCTGCCACACAATCCATAAAAAACATACATACAAATCTAGACAAGAGATTTAAATGTAGAATATTTCACCTCTGGATTAAACCCCCGCTGACATGGCTTCAAACCATTTGGCCATCTGGACAAACCATACATCAATCATTTCAACATGAGGATGTGATCATATTCGATCTATGTAGCGGGTGTGTTGGTGGAGTGAGAACTGACCTATTTCAGAAGCAACAAACAGATATATGAAAAATTACTTTTTTCAAAATTCATCTAATTTCACCAAAATGGACATTCCTTGCAGTTTTCCCAAGTATATATGCATATCAATGCAGGGAAAACCATACTAGCATATCATGGCAGACTTTTGACCTACATTTCTTCTCTGCTAAAACCTAATGACCTTTGACCATGCTATACACAAAACAGATGGGCCCATTTTACAGATTCAAACCTGCAAAATGCAGATGTTGTGAGCATACATATGTGTGGTATGCATGTGTTCCTCAGTCAGTGAGTGTGCATATGTATTGCGTGTGTTTTGGGGTAATTTAAAAGCCCTCTAATAATACGCTATATATTTGGCAGCCTTGTGGCTCCACCCTGTAAGAACTCCATTCACTGTTATAGCTCAATGTAAGCTATATTTAACCCTCTAAATAATATATGACCTATGAGACTGCTATGAGATTTCTCATTCATCTTACCCTGGTACTTTAAATTAGAATAATTTCTGCTAATAAGCTCTTAACAATGAGTCTTTTTCATGAAACAAGCAAAATGCAACTGTGTATAAATTATATATTATTATTTAGGCTACACTTTATTTTAAGGTGTCCTTATTACAATGTAGCTATACATTTAAGTACTGAGTAATATTAATTAACTAAATGTACACTTACTATATGGTTAGGGTTAGGATTAGGTTTTGGCTTAGGGTTACCTGCATGTAATTATGCATAATTCATTGTTATTATATTGTCTCATTATTAGTTGATTCCTCGCACCTGTCTGTCCCTCGTTAAGTTTAGTATAAATGTGTAGTCTGCCTCATGTTTTCTTGTCGAGTCTTAAACGTCATTCCATGTGTGTCTCCTGTGCTGCCTATGTTAGTGTTCCTTTTCTTTTGGTTTGTTTATTAAAAGTCAAGTTTTGAAAGTCATCTCCTCGTCTCCTCGTTTCCCTCCTACGCACCGTGACAGAAGACTCGACCTCAAAAAGATGACTGAAGCTGAGGACGCGCTGTGGGGTTTGAGGTTGGAGCGATATGTGGAGGATTTTCTCGAGCTCTCTAACCAGGTGAGCTGGCACGCTCTAGGTGTGTGCTTCCTGCTGGGGTTAGATGATGAGCCGCGCCGCCCCAGCTCACCCCACGCTGAGAACCTCCACATACCTCTCCAACGGCTCCTACCTGCCCAACCCCAAATCAACAGATAAGCCGGCCGTTCCGATGTCAAGCCCGCTGGCCGCGGCTCACTCAAGCCTGCCGGCCGCGCCGTTGTCAAGCCCGCCGGCCGCGGCTCTCTCAAGCCCGCCGGCCGCCATTGACGCAAGCCCGCCAGTCACCTCAATGACAAGCCCGC